TCCCATTCCAGTTGATGTGAGCGAATTACGTTCATTCTTGGGTCTTTATGGTTATTACCGGAGGTACATAAAAAAATTTTCAAAAATCGCTAAATGTCTCCATCAACTAACCGAAAAAGGACGGAAGTTCTTATGGACAGAAGAATGTCAGGAAGCTTTCGAAGCCTTGAAAGGAAAGCTAACTAAAGCACCCATTCTCGCTCATCCAGACCTATCTAGACCCTTTATCCTAGATACTGACGCGAGTAATAACGCTATCGGAGCTGTGTTATCACAGGAAATTGATGGTAAAGAGAGAGTCATTGCTTTAGGAAGCAGAACCCTATCAAAAACAGAACGGAAATATTGTGTCATCAGAAAAGAACTTTTATCAGTGGTACACTTTGTCAAAAGTTTTCGTCATTTTCTGTATGGCCGAACATTCATCGTTCGAACCGACCACAGCTCATTGCAATGGTTGTTAAACTTCAAAAACGCAGAGGGACAATTAGCAAGATGGCTTGAGGTGTTGAGTACGTATGACATGAAAATAAAACACAGACCAGGAAGTCAGCACCGAAACGCAGATGCGTTAAGTAGGATACCTTGTAGACAGTGTTGATATAGCTCGGATTGGAAGGCACAACAACTTGTACATACAGTGTCATCAAAGCCCGATGAATGTGAAGGAGACACGAAGGACGACACAGAAATATCACTCAAACATCTTCAAGACAATGACAAAAATTTGCAAATTGTAAGACAGTGGGTACAAGATGGACACAAGCCTTACCTCAAAAACCTAGGCGAGTACAATTTTGTTCTTAAAAGCTTATGGTCGCAGTTTGATGACCTGAAGATTCAGGACGGAGTACTTTGCAAATTGCACAAAGACAGCAACAAATGTAGAGTGATAGTACCCCTCACAGAAAGACGTCGAATACTTAAGCAGTGTCATGATAACAAGACGTCAGGCCACCTTGGCATCAAGAAAACACTATCTAGAATCAAACATAGGTTCTATTGGCCTGGTTTACGTAGGACGTAGTAGAATATATAGCCGGATGTGAAGTCTGCGCTAAAAGAAAAGGTCTAAATAAACGACAAAGGGCTCCTATGCAGCTGCAGAAACCGGGTTACCCAATGGAAAGGATTACAATGGTTATATTGGGAGAAGTACCCGAAACCGAGAGAGGACAAAAGTATATCTTAGTCATAAGCGATTTTTACAGCAAATGGGCTGAAAGCTTTCCAATGCCTAACATGATTGCGTCAACTGTAGCCAATATATTAGTAACAGAGGTTATTACGCGTTTCGGTGTGCCTACTGTAGTTCACTCTGACCAAGGCGCGCAGTTTGAGAGCGAATTATTTCAAGAAATGTGTCAGTTATTACAGATAGACAAGACTAGAACCACGCCCTATCATCCGCAGTGTGACGGAATGGTAGAGAGATTTAATGGCACATTGGCAAAAATGTTGACTGCTTATGTTGATGAACACCATTCCAATTGGGATTGCTTACTGCCCTACGTTATGATGGCATATAGATCAGCTCAACATGAGACCACAGGATGTATGCCTAATCGCATGATGTTAGGTCGCGAACTTGCTACACCTGTGGACCTTATGTACGAGGTACCTGATTATTTAAAGAAAATTCCACAAAACAAATGAGCGTGGGAACTTCAAGAACGAATGGAAGAAGTTCACCACTTTGTTAGAAAACATGTAGGACAGGAAATGTGGCGTTAGAAAAAGTATTATGACAAACAGTTAAACTGGAGCAAGTTTAGGAAAGACGACCAAGTATATGTATTCTTTCCAATTCGAAAAGCTGGTCATTCTCCCAAATTCACATCCTACTGGCGTGATCCTTTTCGAGTACTCAAAGCATACTCGGATGTTATCTATCTCATTAACTGTGGTAGGCGTGGTCGACCACAGGTTATACATGTAGATAGAATGAGGTTGTGCAAGGGCCAACTTCTGAGAGGAGAAACAGAGATGAACGAAAACGAAAATCAAGATGATACTTTTGAGCCGGAAAGTGTGGTGCCCGAAATTTCTAATGATGAGCCTGATAGTGCGGGCAACATTGTTGATCAAAGTGATTCAAAGGATGAATCAGACTACACAGGGCGTCCACACAGGGTTACCAAGCAGCCGGCATGGCTACATGATTTTGTTAGATAATGTGGATCGCATTGTCGTATATATATATATTCTTTATCATGTACTAAAATATATAAATAAATATAGATATGTATATAAAGCTAATTTCTACAGAATATGCCGACAAACGTTATTGAGTTATTTTTATTTTCTTTTGCAGAAATGGTGAAGACAAACATTTCAGTAAGAAATAGACAGGACTGGTGCTGCCATTTTTGTAATACAGATTGTAAAACTGAGGCTGCATGGGATGTTCACACGCTCAAATCTGCAAAAGAAAAGAGAGAAAAGGAAAAGTTTCGGTGCACAGAGTCTGGGTGTGATTATGCTTCGGCAAGAAAACAGGATTAAACAGACATAGGAAAAGAGTTCATGGTCTAGAGAAAGCTCAGAGGAGTCAGACTGGGAAACACAGAATCCTGGTGATTTGTTGGATATTATTGAAACGTCTGATGATCCGCGAACTGTGCGCAAACGAAGCAAACCAAACCCAGTAGTAGCTCCTAAAAGGAAGCAGGAACTAATTGACGTGTTACAAAAATCAATATCTCCAAAGAAGATTCCCAGAGTGTCGTGCACTGTATCCACAGCGCCAGCTTCAGTCGTTAGTGACAGTAGTGGTTCAGAATCTGACGATTCCACTATTTTCAGTACAGTCTGGACGGCTACCCCAGTTGTATCAGAGAGCTCCGGTATTGTACCAAGCTCAATCTCGCCAAATATTGTAGTTTCAACACCTATAGTGAGTGCACCAATGCCAATACTACCTTTGTCTAAGGACAATTGCACTCAAAACTGAAAGATTGAGCCATCATCCTCGCCTCCGACGTAAACGCCATTTCATTGACAATCAGGGCATTCTTGTCTCTAAAACAGAGGAAGAAGAATGGGATGATTTTTAGAACACTATCTTTTTGACACACATACCAACCAGAGAGGTTTAAGGTAGTTATCAGACAGTGCCGTTAATTAAGTGCATGTCATAAGCAGGGAGCTGGACGTTTTATGAGTTATGAGGACACTTAATTATAGAAGTTGTTTTGGAGTCTAGATTAACAGACAGTTTTATATGTAATTAAAAGTGAGGGAATCACTACTATAAATTTTATTTTGTTGTATATTTTAATATGTATGTCCGTCGGATGGGGACGTTAAATCCGAGGTCCCGTGTTCAGGGAGTACCACGCTTTGTGCACGTTAAAGATCCCTCTCAACAAGCTCTTTGAGTGGTCCATAAGTGGACGGTTGTTAGGCAAAATGATTTCATACCGGTTTTGGCTTTGTGATGTTTTCGGTGGTTTTCAAATATACTAATTGGCTTGTTGGTTTTCATGGTTAAAAAATTGTCCAAAAATCTGTCAGCATGCATATTTGAAATCAAGACGTAAAACGACTTAAGGGTACTTAGAATAAAGTTGATATATTTAAGTTGATGCACATATAAAACATTTCCTCCAATGTTAAGACAATAGTATATATAATTGAGTGGGAATCTTGTCATGTCGGGTAGATCATACATCTACGAGTTGTTCTAGTGGTTAGCTACTGAAGAAGTAACAGTTGTTTCATGATATTTATATTTGTGGTTTTTGAATGACATGGCTCGAGGCATTACCCGGATAGAGTTTGGGACTGAAAAATGTCCACTTGATGTAGATGTGCTCATTGAATTGATTTCGATAAATGCGGGGACGCATTTCCTGGAGGCGTGGGTAATGTGATGAAAATAGTTCACCTGTTTTATTTTACTAGGGTTCAACTTATTACTTTTATCAAGCTGAAACATTGTTATACGAACTCGTTAAGTTTGAAAATTGAACAGTTGTCTACTTTCGGTTTTCTTTTGTTTACATTGCTATGGGAATTTATAATATTTAGAATCAGGAACGGACAGGTTGAGGTTAGCAAACCCGGAAATATTCCGATCGGTAGTTGTAATAATAAGGGCTGTCATTCAAACGGTTGAACTATAAGGGTTAGGTATTCTACAAACACTCATAGGAATAAGATATTTGGTATCGTCCAAAGTAAATGGTATGGTCCAATACCTTAGTATAAAAGCTGATGCGCTGTCAGAATAAGGGTCGCTTAATGGGTAGTCCAGACGTCTCAAAGAAGCAAAAAGGTAATTATATAATTATTTACACTTTATAAAAGATTAAATAGATTCTGAATAAGAATCTATCTGCGTACCTGAATAAGGTTGCAGGGATATTAAAAGTTGTACATACGCACCGGGTAATAGGTGCATAGGCGACTGTGCGGTAATAGTGCACGGGTAAATACGTGCACTGGTTATGCAGTGCACAGGCGGATCAGGTCAGATAGTGCACAGGCGGAACAAGTCAGATAGTGCACAGGATAGCGGTGCACAGGATAGTAGTGCATAGGAAACAGAAAAGTTTTGGATAGTGCATAGGTTAGCACTGATTGCGACTGGACACATAAGGTCTATGCAACACCTTGCTGGTTGATGACAGAGACCAAAATAACAAGTAAAAGATCGATATCTAAGAGACGGTGTATCTTCCAATATCCAGGGGTAAACTCTGGTACGATACCCCTAAGTCACTACACCGAGTACGTGACAATACCAGCATTACATTTTATATCTACGACCGCTAGAATGTTGACCAAAACTGTTCATAAGACTTATTTCGTCTAGTTAATGCGATTCGAACTGTATTATGCGAAAAATTAGAATACACAGAATCTAACACATTTACTCACATATTTTCACACCAAAATGAACCTTCATCATGACTTACAGTCTATATTAAAACCAAAATTCATCTGACATAGTTGGCCTCCAAGGCCCTTTACATAAAAATCAAATGAAGTCAAAATAATTCTTCCTTCTTATTACAAAAATAAATATCCAACAACGAGTTGTTTTCGACATTTCGGTGGTCAAATTAGTAATTTCTTTTTTTCTCAATTAATAGATTATGAACAAAGCTGAAACTATGGTATTTAAAGAAATCTATTTCATTAATCTATTTAGCATCCTCAGAAAGCGTCATTAGACATCATTTGTAAAGTCTCGAAGATAATTGAACGTTGCTCTTACAAGAAAAAATCACTTAGAAAAATAAAGCTTGAAGCAAATAACAAATAGTTACAACAAATACAAAAGAGAATAGTAAGATGTTCTTCTTTGACGGTTGTTCTGTAAATCCTAATGGTCTTGTTTTAAGGGGTCCTAATGTTCTTTCCCACTGCGACAATATCGCTTTTCTTGCTCCATCCCATTTTCCAGGTCCGTGTAGTCTGTATTGGTATGGTGTACAAGGCCCAAAATAGCAGTTTAAGGCCAGTTTCGGGTCTGACCAAAATAATAACCCTGTTAAATTAATGAATGTAAATGATTATTACTTATAGTAATTCTTTCCCTCAGTATTGTTCTTTTGTATTTGTTTAATATGTGTAATGTTATAATCTCATGTTGCCCCTTGTGGACCCTTTAATTTGGAATAAAGTATATTCTATTCTATTCTATCCTATAGTGGTAGGCCTTGTTCTTATCACAATGAAGGACTGATGTATGACATAGCATACCACAATGCTTCGAAAACGTAACTGAAATACTTACATTTAGGTCTTTGATAAAACAGGGATAGGCTAAAATGCATATTATAGATGACCAAAATTCAAAAGAAGTATTGAATCTTAAATAAAGGCAACAGTAGTATACCGCTGTTCGAAATTCATAAATCAATTGAGAAAAAGACAAATCCGGGTTACAAACTAAAACTGAGGGAAACACATCAAATATAAGAGGAGAACTACGACACAACAGAAACACAACATTAAAATGTAACACACACAGAAACGAACTATAATACAACAATGGCCATTTTTCTGACGTGGTACAGGACATTTTAAGAAAAAATTTTAACCATATGTCAACAGAACAGCATTTTCACCATATGTCAACAGAACAGCATTTTAACCATATGTCAACAGAACAGCATTTTAAGTCAACAGAACAGCATTTTAACCATATGTCAACAGAACAGCATTTTAACCATATGTCAACATAACAGCATTTTAACTGCTGTTATTCTTCTCGATAGCTACTGCAAAATCTTCAACGATAATCCTTCGAAATAATAACGCATGATACCTATATCAGAGTGCATGGCACGAGTTCTGGAATAACTTTCAAGTACGCAGAAGACCAAAAGTTTGGAATCAGATTACATAGAACGGTTCAAAACACAGAAAACATACAGAACAGCCATAACTATGCACGAGAATGTACAACCTGAGGTTTTAGTACATTTTCATATTTTATAAAATGCAATTTTAACTGAATGAATAGCTACTGTTCGTTGGTACATAAAGGAACTGTAAGTATACCAGAAGCGACACCGACCCAGTAACATTCAAAGATTTCTGTGTAAATGGTGATCTCGTGGCACCATGCTTGTCTCATGTGCGGGAGATCGTGGATTCGATCACCGGCCGGGTCAAACTCAACTTACTTAAGACTTGAAAATTGGTTATTCATTTTGCCACTTCTACACTAACCACTCGGGATCAAAGACTGATCGGTTAGGAGTCAGAAAAATGTTTCCATGTGGGATAACATGTCTTCCGTAGATATAAATAAGAAGATGTGGTATGAGACAACTATCCATTCAAGTCACAATGTGTAAAAAGTAAACTATTATAGGTCAAAGTACGGCCTTCAACACGGAGCCTTGGCTCACACCGAACAGCAAGCTATAAAGGGCTCCTAAGAGACTAGTGTAAAACCATTCAAACAGGAAAACCAACGGTTTAATCTGATAAACTAGAGGCTCTAAAGAGCCTGTGTCGCTCACCTTGGTCTATGTGCATATTAAACAAAGGACACAGATGGATTCATGACAAAATTGTGTTTTGGTGATGGTGATGTGTTTGTAGATCTTACTTTACTGAACATTTTTGCTCCTTACTATTATCTCTATCTATAATGAACTTGGCCCGGTAGTTACAGTGGAAAATACTTTGTAAAAATTAACAAAAATTTACAAAATTTATGAAAATTGTAAAAAATTGACTATAAAGGGCAACAACTCCTTAAGGGGTCAATTGACAATTTTGGTCATGTTGCCTTATTTGTAGATCTAACTTTGCTGTACATTATTGCTGTTTACAGTTTATCTCTATCTATAATAATATTCAAGATAATAACCAAAAGCTGCAAAATTTTCTTAAAATTATCAATTCAGGGGCAGCAACCCAACAACGTGTTGCCTGATTGCCAGGGCAGATAGATCTTGACCTAATGAACAATTTTATCCTCATCAGATTTGCTCTAAATGCTTTAGTTTCAGAGATATGAGCCAAAAACTGCATTTTACCGTATGTACTATTTTTTAGCCATGTCGGCCATCTTGGTTCGCGGGCGGGGTCATCGGACACATTTTTTAAACTAGATACCCTAATGATGATTGTGGACAAGTTTGGATAAATTTGTCTTAGTAGTTTCAGAGGAGAAGATTTTTGTAAAAAATTACAATAATTTACGAAAAATGGTTAAAAATTGACTATAAAGGGCAATAACTCCTTAAGGGGTCAACTGACCATTTTGGTCATGTTTGACTTATTTGTAGATCTTACTTGGCTGTACATTATTGCTGTTTACAGTTTATCTCTATCTATAATAATATTCAAGATAATAACCAAAAACGGCAAAATTTCCTTAAAATTACCAATTCAGGGGCAGCAACCCAACAACGGGTTGCCTGATTGGTCTGAAAATTTCAGGACAGATAGATCTTGACCTAATGAACAATTTTATTCTCATCAGATTTGCTCTAAATGCTTTGGTTTCAGAGATATGAGCCAAAAACTGCATTTTATCCTATGTACTATTATTTAGCCATGTCGGCCATCTTGGTTCGCGGGCGGGGTCATCGGACACATTTTTTAAACCAAATACCCTAATGATGATTGTGGACAAGTTTGGTTAAATTTGTCTCAGTAGTTTCAGAGGAAAAAATTTTTGTAAAAGATTACAAAAATTTACGAAAAATGGTTAAAAATTGACTATAAAGGGCAATAACTCCTTAAGGGGTCAACTGACCATTTTGGTCAAGTTGACTTATTTGTAGATCTTACTTTGCTGAACATTATTGCTGTTTACAGTTTATCTCTATCTATAATAATATTCAAGATAATAACCAAAAACGGCAAAATTTCCTTAAAATTACCAATTCAGGGGCAGCAACCCAACAACGGGTTGTCCGATTCATCTGAAAATTTCAGGGCAGATAGATCTTGACCTGATAAACAATTTTATCCCCATGTCAGATTTGCACTAAATGCTTTGGTTTCAGAGATATAAGCCAAAATCTACATTTTACCCCTATTTTCTATTTTTAGCCATGGCGGCCATCTTGGTTGGTTGACCGGATCACCGGACACATTTTTTAAACTAGATACCCCAATGATGATTGTGACCAAGTTTGGTTAAATTTGACCCAGTAGTTTCAGAGGAGAAGATTTTTGTAAAAGTTAACAGACGACGCCGGACGACGACGACGACGACGGACGACGGACGCAAAGTGATGAGAAAAGCTCACTTGGCCCTTCGGGCCAGGTGAGCTAAAAACGAGAAACGAGAAACACTTATGAACCACACCAACAAACGACAACCACTGAACAACAGGCTCCTTACTTAGGATATAGGACTGGTACCTCAAGTTTAACTAGCACGTTAAAAATCCAGCTCAGTGTATCAGTTTAGCAAAAAGCAAATTCAAATAGCATGAACATATTCATGTCTTGATATGCAAAATAGTTATCAATGTAACATTTACAACTGGACGATTAAAAAAGCCAATACAACGTCATCATCAACATCAGCGCGTGACACGTATTTATCATTTTACTCAGAAGTAGTTTGAACATTTCTGCAATGTGTTTACGATCTACTGAGATTTTAAAATTTTGTACTAAGAAGTTACAAACTAAGTACGTTACTTCCAAATCTAAAATACTACACTGTAGACCACAATGTTGAAAATAACGTGTGCAACATTAAAAGATTGTACTTAAGTCATACAAGAGTTCTTCCTTATACGTCTTTAAAATCGGTATATAAAAGGGTAAAAGGGTAAAAACACCAAAAAAATCTTGTGATTGACTATACAATTATAAACGTAACTTAGAGGCAAACATACCAAAATCAGGTCGACATCCATTTAATGTAGCGAGTTCATCCATATACTCTATGTATTCGACAGTAACTGTGTGTTTATGTAATTTTACATATTTTTCTTTCAGTACCTCTTGTTTCGATTTAATATCTAACATCATATCATTACAGCATGGAAGATTTACTTTTCCCTGTGAAATGATTACAGAAATATTTATACATACAAGATAACTTCAATATGTTTGACATGTACTATTCCAATAAATATTTAAAAACAAAATGGAACAGAAATCAATGGCTTCATGTTCATCAATAAAATAAAACTCTGTTTGGTAATTGTTTAGGCTTTTTGGTTTGTTGTTGTTGTTGTTGTTTGTTTTATCTTAAGGATGTTTGTACTTATAAATGCAGCTGCAGTTACGTATTACTTATGCTGCTGAGGTATGATAATTCACACATAAACAAACACACACACACACACACACACACACACACACACACATTGTTTGTTATCAGATAATATTTTATATCTAGGAATATTTCATGTATATTCAGTAAAGTATTATTTATTTCTACACACTTAAGTCACTTTAGAAGCATTTAAATCCTTTTGTTTATTAATATTAATGCTTATTAATCAAAGTATCGCAAAATTCATTCATCTACCTGAAAAACACGTGTAGACAGTCTACACTGCATCTCAAATACTGGCATATTTGCTCCAAGTACTTGTGCGCATCCGATTATACCTAAAGTTGATTTTTCCAGTTTTGGTGGGAAAATGTACTTGTATAGTTCATCTACATGATTTTCTCTTACTTCAGTCACAGATTTGTCCAAAAAAGGAAATTTGAATGTATACCCTGTTGCCAAGACAACAACATCGATATTTTCTTCCACTGTATTATCGTCAAATATTACACCATTTTCAGTAAATGTTCTGACACCTGCTTTTGCCCTCAATGTTCCTGATGCCAATCGGTTTGGTATTTCATCATTTATAATTGGACTATGAGCAAAGACGCGGTGCTTTGGTTGAAGACAATAAGTTGCATGATCAAATCGTGCATTTATTTTTTTCACCACCAAGTTTTCAATAAGCGACTGTGGTAATATTTTTTTCAGTTTCATCATAATCCTTTTGAAAGATGTCATATCGATAGGCATACCATAGTCGGTTATTCTGGAAAGTACCCAAGTTCCACGCCCGGTACTTATAAAAACCTTCAAAGTAAAAAATATTCTATAAATATTCACCTTAATAAGTCCTAGCCAAGGGTTTGTTTGTATTCAGTTATGCAAGTTTTGTGAATATTGATTGAAACTGTAATGAGCAGACAATTGAAATTTATTAATTGTATAATTGTAAAATGATTTGGCATTTTTTTCACTTGAAATGATTTGTTTTGTAATATATGTAATAATACAACTTATGTATGAACACAAGTAACCTGAGAAGCAACTGCGCTAAGTTCTACGGCTATTTCCGATCCTGTATTTCCTATTCCAATGACAAGTACTCTTTTCCCTTCATACCCAGTTGGCTTTCTGTAGTCATGGCTGTGAACAACTTCTCCTTTGAAGTTTGATAAACCTGGGAAATTAGGAACATACTTTTCACTATTACGACCAGTGCAAACAAGAACAGCATCAAATATGTTTTCCTTCACTTTATCAGTTTTCTTGTCTTTCAGTTGGATAACCCACTGACCAGTCTGTTCGAAATCGTCTTTTTTCATAACGCTCAATACCTGAACAAAAATATTCTAGTTTTAAATAACATGATTTTTTTTTCTAGGAAATCAAGATTCTGCATGAAAATTAAACAGAAAGAAAACTTAATAAAAAAATTTATAAAATCGAAGAAAGCAAGAGGAAGTTAAAACCACAATGCTATGACCAAATGAAAATAAAAAATGACAAACATCAATAAACTAATCATTACATTTGAAATTAAAGCCTAAATGATTACTCCATTAAAAAGTATATCGACGAGACTACAGACCGGCACTATACCATATTACCATTACCCAGTACCAATCTGATTGAAATACATATCATGTGTCCATGCTTTGTTTTTTTATGGAGGCTTTGATCTGCCGTCGTGAAGTCGAGTTGCCGAGATAATAAAGTCGACTTGTCGAGATAATTATCTCAACAAATCGACTTAATCACATCTTATGTCGACTTGTCGAGATATCTATCACGACAAGTCGACTTAGAATATCTAAGCAACTCGTCCTGAAGTCGAGATGAATGCCCACATTCATGACCCTTATACGCTTCCATATTCCATACAGATGTGGGCATTCATCTCGACTTTAGGACGCGTTGCCGAGATATTCTAGGTCGTGATAAATATCTCGGCAGATTGACAAAAGATGTGATTAAGTCGACTTAATGCAAAACGTAAGTCGACTTGTTGAGATAATTATCTCGACAAGTCGACTTAATTATCTCGGCAACTCGACTTCACGACGACAGATCAAAGCCTCCATAGTTTTTGTATTTTAAATAGATTGTACCAGTACATTTCTTGATAAAGTGTGTGCCATTTGCTACATGGACTAAATAACGGATGTTACATCATGGATGTATTCTATGAAGATAAGCCATGTAACATGGTTAAAACATACATAAAAGTTTCTAAGCGAAGCAACATTGAAATGCAATTTTTAAATGTTTTTAAAATGCCTTACCTCCGTTTTAAATTGTATATATTTCTGAAGACTGAATTTTTCAGCATACAAATCTAAATACTTTTGTACATAAGTATTATGCATATACATTGGATATTCTGCTGGCATTGGGAAATCACTAAAGCACATCATTTCTTTACTTGTGTTAGTGATGGTTGACTTCATAACGGATGCCTGACCTTCTGTGACGTTATCTGAATACCTCCATAGCCCACCTGTTTTGGATATAAAGTCAGGCAACTTATTAAAAAAATACAATATATATAATTATACGTTGTAGTTTAACAAATATTTACAAAAAAGAAAAAATCTAATTCAAAGACATCAAAATGAAGTGTGTTGTCTTGCACCATCTATATGTATACCATTACACAATACCATAAAATACCTAGAGTGCAATCAAAATCCATATTTCGAAGAAAGACACACAACCACGTGGCCAATAGAAAAAGACAAACAGATAAACAAATATCTACAAAACACCACACAGAAAACTAAAAATTGAGCAATATGAACCTCACCGAAAACCTATGGTAAACTCAGGTGCCCAGGGAAGTTATCAGTTCCTGCGATGCAAGTTCCACACGTGCATTTTTGATGATGCAAATTTTATGACAATTAATCACTTATATCCTCAGATTTACATAAAAACAAATGGTTGTCCCTTTCTTATCTCTTATCTCAATAATTACCACATATATATTCCAGCTGTCGTTACAAAACTTCCATACTCCTTTCTTTAGGACTCCATTACCCAATGCGACAGGTTTTATCATGAGAAACACAAGACTACAACTGATCAGAAACTGGTTACCCTTCATGGGCACCTTATAGTATAGCCGATTTTTGGCAAAACACAAGAATTCAACTGATCAGAAACTGGTTACCCTTCATGGGCACCTTATAGTATAGCCGATTTTTGGTAAAACACAAGACTACAACTGATCAGAAACTGGTTACCCTTCATGGGCACCTTATAGTATAGCCGATTTTTGCCAAAACACAAGACTACAACTGATCAGAAACTGGTTACCCGTCATGGGCACCTTATAGTATAGCCGATTTTTGGCAAAACACAAGACTTCAACTGATCAGAAACTGGTTACCCTTCATGGGTACCTGATAGTATAGCCGATTTTTGGCAAAACACAAGACTACAACTGATCAGAAACTGGTTACCCTGCATGGGCACCTTATAGTATAGCCGATTTTTGGCAATCTTTTTTTCAGTGTCGAGTTGTGTTGATTGTTTGTCTTTTCGTCTTTTTTCCCGGTTTTTTCGACTTATGATGCTTGATTGCTTCATTTGTATATTCCCAATGTTTCCATGTGCTTAATTAAGAGTAAAGCAGTCAATAATTTCTTTAATTTTTTTCTACTTATGCGTTCCATTATTGCTGTTGTAGAAGAACCTGGATCAGTATTTACAGAAATCCGTTAAAAGTATTAGACTTCTGGTATTTGGAAGAAAAACAGTATACACCTCACATCGCTTCTTTGTCATTTTAAGTACCAAATTTCATTGATTCTAATAAAAAAAATTTATAATAGTTTGTACTGTCTTTAATATGCAAAACTGTGGATTAATAACAAAATGTAAAACCGTTTAAAACAAAACTGAAAAATTCCACAAAAACACTGCATAACGTAATCGCATAATCATGATCAATGAAGTCACTGCAAATATATTTTATATAAGGAAGTAAGCATAAACAAAATCGGTGATATTTCTGTAGTTGAAGACCTTAAGCTACAACAAAGACCTTATATTTAAAAGCACTGACTGACGTTACACTAAGTACACGTACCACTGGCTTATATATTTTTTTAGATGTTTTCAGAACAAATAGCTATTTGTTGGACTTAATGTATTACATTTACCTATATCATTAGTTCTTTCAAAGCATACTGGTTCTAGTCCCTCGTCTATACAACACTTTATAGCAGTTAATCCACTGACTCCTGCTCCAATCACTGCAACCTTCATGACTACTAGTATTTACTTCAATGAAAACAAACTTTCTTTTACTAACTCAGGCAATTAAAGTCGATCATAATGATTAGTTTGACAAGCACTTTGTTTATACAATAACACATTTTTTTTTTTATTTTGTGAAAATATTTTCGGGAACGCAAACAGAAAATTTCCGATATGAGACTGGATAAATCAAAATGATAATTTTTTTTTCAATTCTTTTCTTTCGATTTAGATGTAAAGAAGAATGAGACATAGGACGTAATATTTTATTATAGCTGTGCATCTTGCAATCATTTATTCTAAATTTCAAATTGTGGAAAAATACATTTTTTTGTAATTTAAAAAAATCATTGCAAAGATTAATCTTGCAATGTAATGATCGCCTCTCTGCTTTCTCCGTGAATAAGCCTTGTGATAAAGTATGTTGCATATAATTTAATAAGATATTTGAATGAACTGGCAGCTTCTACTACAGATAAGCATCGTGAAATTATTTCTTTTCTTTTTTTTAAACAATGTTTCAAAAAAGAATCTAAACAATTAATAATTTAGTTCATGCTTCTTGACAAACAAAAAGCGAAAGTGATATATTGTCTCATATTCTGTTATTTTCCTTCGCTGCGTTGCATTCTGGCTTACAGTAAATAATATGGTATAATTTGAATATAGACAGGTCTTATTCGAAAACCTGTAGCATATATTCAACATGTCAACTATCAACATTTGATGAATATTTTCAAAACAATGGGTATAGAAATATGTTCGTCCCTTATACTTTTTCCGGCAGTAAAACCCTTGTAAAAGTGTATATAATCCGATGGGTTGTATGGGATGTATAAATACACAGCCACGTCCTGTCGAAATTTGGACGTTAAATCTGAGCTTCGTGTACAGAGAGTGTCACGCACTTTCCACACTTGTTAAAAAGAACCATTGTAACAACTTTCTGAGAGATCCGTAGGTGGCCTGTTGCAAAGCAAAATGTCTGTCCTGAATATTTATGAAATCTTTGCAACTGGATGTATAACATACAATGAACACCATGTAACTAATAATATATACATGTAAAACTACACCGTTGTAGCATGTAACAAATAGATATAAGAAGATGTGGTATGAGTGCCAATGAGACAACTCTCCATCCAAGTCACAATGTGTAAAAAGTAAACCATTATAGGTCAAAGTACGGCCTTCAACACGGAACCTTGGCTCACACCGAACAGCAAGCTATAAAGGGCCCCAAAAACTAGTGTAAAACAATTCAAACAGGAAAACCAACGGCGGGTCTGATCTATATAAAAAACGAGAAACGAGAAACAGTTATGAACCACATCAACAAACGACAACCACTGACCAACAGGTTCAAAAGACCACTTTGAATTTTGTCCATATGCTTTAAGCCTCGGTATTTTCATCAAAATATTTCACCATGATAGTATTGTCAGTTCGTATAGTTGTGTTCATCCTAACAGAAGTTCCTCTAAAAAAATGTTATCATCTAATCCTATTGGGACAAATATTGTATACCCTATATGCCGAAAGGAACAAATACTGTAATATTTCTTCCATTGAAAACACTTTCAATTGATATAAAATAATGCTACTATACCTGTTCCTGTTGGGACACATATTTATGTACCCTTTATGACCTGTTATATGTCTTCCATTGCAAATACTGTTATATTTATTGCAAATAATATTCTGGAATATTTCTTCATCGCTAAACATTAATTTACTTATTCATACATTAAACATTAGACACTCAATCATTACTATATACTTTACAGGTAAAAACGACTTTTCATTGACATAAGATCAACTTAAAATTTACGCGTTCAAGTTATTTGTACGTGAATGACTCACAAAAATACCAGTTGACAAAAAATGTTAAACGACCCTGAATGATGACAATGATGGGTAATAAGTTATACCCATTCTAACCTTGAGTGTTTAGAAACAAACATTTCTCTGACATTACCCCGCAGTTGACTGCTAGTTTCAATCTCATGATTATAACACGTAGAGTCATTCGTGAACATTGCATATATCTGATCATATCTACTCGAGTTCATTATGTAGAACATTCATACGAATCTTTGAAAATACTGTATATGTTAATGCACATATCTAATCATATCTACTCTAGTTCATTATGTAGAATATTCATACGAATCTTTGAAAATACTGTATATGTTAATTGGCCTGTAGTAGACCTAGATGCATAGTAAATACGTCTGAATTTACACTTGCGAATCTATGTTAAGGCTTATGTTATACCATTATAAGCTATGGAGTAGTTTATTCACTATATATTAAAGTAAACCATGAACTGCTAACCGTTCCGAAGCATATGAGTTCACGCCGGTTCTTTTGGTGGGGTTCGACTATAATAGTCAATCTCAGCGGTTCTGGTGCATTTGATTGGCTAGTTTTCTTTTGATGAATGCTGGTAATAATTAAACAAATATAATAAAAAATGAATACTTACTATTCTATTTTTAGAAAATAATCCCGGATATATCATTTCACAGTCAATGTCTATATTCAACTCATGTTTTTGTTTACTTTTAAAAGCAAAACTGCAAAATACTTTTGTAATTCATTTGGTAGTTAAATAGGAATATAGTCTCAAAACTTAAATGACAAAACTACAAATTTTGATGACAGTCAGCTGAAAGTCCGTGTCATTATTTAGATCGACAACATAATAGTCTGAATCGACATAAGGTAGATAATACGCTTTAAAAATACTGAAAATATAACGTTTAAACTAAATTTATAACCTATTTGTTTTTATCAAAAAGCGCCCGGGAGCGCCCGGGAAAAGAAAAAGCGCCCGGGGGAATAAAATAATAATATTTTATAACAATAAATGTTTTCCTGAATAAAAAAAATAATCATTGCTTGTTTTGTCCTGAATATAAATGGGGATATGTAAAAAATCAAAATCAAATCAAATAGTTTTATTGGTGTAAATTCCAATACAGGAATGATACCAGCTGACATTTACAAAATACAAATACAAAAACAGACAAAAATAAACAAAAAAACAAATATACAGAGATATGTTTTCTCAATGATAAGAGACACATATTTTATATCTACATTGCGTGGAGGTGTTATTCATACTATATTATCACTTCAAGTTATTACAATAAGCTTTAATACTACAACAGTTCTTAACAACATTATGTTTGCTTTAAATGAATGTTCGAATCATACATATCGCTTATTCCAGCTACACATACAGTACAAATGTCAGTATCATTACTTTTCAAAATGAAACTAAATTTATCTTGTTCAGACATATTAACAAAAGATGGAACTATATCACTTAAATTACAAAAGAGTATATTTCTATTAAATTCTAACGCTTAACATTTAATGAGGAAATGGAATTCATCTTCAATTCCATCCTTGCAAAGTGGACAAATTCTCTGTTCTAAAGGTGTTCTAGTATATCTACCAACTTCTATTAGTAATTTGCTATTACTAATTCTAATTTTTACCATTTTAGAAATAACATTTTTGTTAAGGTCCAGTAGGAGATATTTTTCTAATTCGTAATTATTTTTAACTTTGCGATACGTTCTTAGTTTATTACCATGACTATCTTTATTAGAGTCACAAAAAAGAGCTTGTTTCCAGGATTTTATGAATTCCTCCTCTGTACGATGCTACATCTAAAGTGTGTAGATAGCGTTGTTGCACTTTTACATTTTAGGTTTCAAAATTATATATAAGTAAGTAAGTAAATATAAACAAGAGTATATAGAAGAATCATGAACGATATTGTCCTCGATCAGTGCCCGAGGTCTAATATTCGCAACTGCATGGTGAACAATTTTCAAAGTTTTGTATTTTATTAAACACACTTGAATTGACGGTGGAAGATCGTGGAAGGGTTTCAACATGCCTGCCACTAAGAAAAGAAAAGTTAAACCCACTGCTAAAGCAAATATGATATTCTGGCCTTGTGGAATATGCCGTAAAATTGTAAAATTGCAAGCATCTGCTGCGACAATTGTGATACGTGGTGCCATCTACGATGTGAAGAGCTGGAATTGGCAGACTTTGAGATGTTCCTCACAGACAAAAATGTGAATTATTCATGCAAAGGGTGTTTTTCCCATGACCAGTCAGATGAATACACATACACATCAGCTTTATTACGATTGACAGAGGTGAGATTTGTAATATATTATATAAATAATAGAGAGAAAATAATAAAACTTTTTGTTCAGCCAAAAGGTACGCTTATGGAATTTTAATATTTCATTATTCTACCCCCGTTTTCATTTTTAACAATCATATATATATATAATAAGATAAGACTAATTAACAATCGTTAACTGTACACACGACACGCTGATTACGATATAACCCGAATAATTCAGTCCCTCCCCGTGACCGACTCTCCCACTCGCGAGGCATCGTAGAGCAGTGGAATATAACGACTGAATTATTCGGGTTAATTACGGTTATCCGATTAACCACAATCGTTAATATACAAAACCATTTGTGTGTATTTCATATCTGGTATTTATAAAGAAATTGATAACTTTCAGGCTGGTGAAAAGGGATTTAATTACCTACGATTTTGCAGTAAAAGAGAAAAGGGAATGCTACCCACAATCACTGAAGCTGAGTACAGCACCGGGAGTACAGCGAAGAGAAGTTGGCATAGGCGGATCCAGGGGGCCCTGCCCCCCCCCCCCCTTATGAAAGTTCTGGATCCGCTACTGGTTGGCGGTACACATGGACCATGCTACATCTAAACTGCTGTTGGAACGATACAATATGAACGAGAATGGTGAGAGATTCTTGGTCCTATAAAGAAAATACCGGAAATCTATATTTATGATAACATTTTAGTTTTAAAATATATAATATAAAAAAAAGCGATGTCTGGTTCATATGAAGCATCTGAATTCGCTGTCTCGTTTGTCATATAATAAAAGACAACAAAATAACTGGACAATAGTGAAGTCACATGCTTTCTAAACTTTAAGTCTATCTCGAAGAGTTGGCTTTCGAATTATACTGCGTATATGTAAATAAGGGGAATTTCTTTACACTATGTATCTAAAATATAAAAAAGAAGATGTGGTGTGATTGCCAATGAACCAAATATTCACAAGAGACCAAATGACACAGAAATTAACAACTATAGGTCACCGTACGGCCTTCAACAATGAGCAAAGAACATACCGCATAGTCAGCTATATTAAGGCCCCGAAATGAAAATGTAAAACAATTCAAACGAGAAAACTAACGGCCTAATATATGTAAAAAAAAAAAAATTAATTTTTACTTTTAGTGCTTTTTTAACAATAGTAAATGTTTTATTATATCTTTTTATAAAACGCTATGCTTATCAGTGTTTTAATGCTTAGTTTTAAATTTAAACCAAACTCCTGCTTTTTACCCCCTTGTTTTAACTACGGTACATGTATAGTACTGCTTTATTTGCTGATTTATTATAAAAAAAAATTATAAAACTAAAACTGTTTAAATCGCAGCATGCGATTTGTAATGCGTATCGGTGATTCAATGTTATTTGTTTTATACCAAATACCTGCTTTTAACATGCATAGTATAATTGTTTTATTTGCTGATGCTGATATACATGTGCGTGTCACTTTTATCGTTCTTAAATAATGTGTAACTCTTTTAATTTTATAAAATAATATTTATCTGTGAAATTTAAGTTGTTTTTGCATTTTCATTTTGATATCGTTTTTGAAAAACATGTCTTTTGATGTCTAACATTTTAAAAATCTTCAGCATAAACTGTGATCCATTATTATCTGTCTTTAGTATTCATATATTATTGTTAAAATTGAAACATTCGTACTTGTTTTTGTGCTTTATTACAAATGTCTATTATCTGAATTTGCAAAATACTTGTCTAAAATTAAAAAAAAATCAATGTGCATAACTTATTTCATCGACACAAAGTTGTCTCATGCCAATCCAATATCTATATATTTTCCCCGGGCGCTTTTATTTTCTTCCCCGGGCGCTTTTTCTTCACCCTTGCTCCCGGGCGCTTTTTAGTAGGAACCAGAAATGTGTAGAATTGGAGGCGCTATTATACTAATAAAATTCTGAATTATTTAAGTTGAATGATGTAAAATTCTAAAAAAGAAATACTGAGGATATTTTGACATTACAGCAGTATACAAAATGCAATCTTATTGATGTCATACAACAATGTATGATCATGTATTGGAACATATTTTTGATATGAGGTGCTATTATTTGTCTATCCAGTTCCAGAAGTAACATGAACATGTTCTTGAAATAATTATTGGAAGAAATCGAGAACAAAACAATAGTGGACATTATAATGCCACCTCATACAAATCATGCGCAACGTTTCAGAGTTTAAAAAAAATAACTGTTACTGGGTTACTCAATTTGTACTCGAATACATATTGCCTTTGTCGATTGCACTCCCAGCTGTTGCATGTGATTTGGTAGGAGTTCATATTTAAGCTGGACTTTTGGTGGATTCAATGGGGGATATTTGTAAATACTTTACTGAATCTTTCCAACGTTTATTCGAAAGTTCGTTTATCATTTCATTTGATCAATCCTGACACCCTCGGTGTGTTATACAAGAAAAACCTTAAAATGTGCATTATCTATAACATAATCTTCACACTTATGTGAGATTTTAACATGTTTCACAACAACATAGTTCTGTAAGAAACTTTTAACGACAAAATGTATAGATACATGTATATATAGTGTATCGTATAAACAACAAGGAATGATTTAAAAAATAAACTTGAACAAAATGTCTATATGCTCTCATAGAGCACCTTAATTGCAGAGAAACATACAACCACTAAATAAATGTACGATAGTTTACGAGTGAATTGTATTCTAAATACAGAAGACATAGTTTACTTAGTTTGATAACATGTTTATTTTTGATAATCTTCTTGCTATTTTTGATGGTTAGAATATTAAAATAGCTACTGAAGAGTTGCTATCAGTGACATCGTCGACATTAATGTTTATTCAGAAATAAATAACTATTAATAGTTCAAGGTATTAAATCTGGTTACAATCTTGAAAAGACTCATACTGACCATGAATTGAAACGGAGAAAGACAGGCAAGACAAAGTATAAACATAGTAGGTAAGAACACGATACCTCGATGATGATGAATTAAATGCATATTTAGGACGAGCACATGTAAATGTTAAATGAATATTAGCCCTGCTTTTTACTAGACCGACACGCTGAGCCGGATTTTAACTATAGCTAGTTCACAAGGTAACAGTCCGCAGTTAAACATGTCACCCTACCGGAAACATTATTCTGACTCCTAGCAGACCAGTCTTTGATCTGACCTTAATGCTGCGTGCTCAGCGGAGAAGCAGCAAATTCAAATCCTTACGTCTTGAGTTTGACCCGGTCGGAGTTCGAACCTACGACCTCCGGTATTCGAGGAGAGCACGCTTCCAGGAGACCTCCGAGGCGATCACGATATATTGAGCTCCATGCAACAAAATAGTAATATAGTCAACTAATAAATAAAAATACGTAAAACAAAACTATACGATTTCCTCAGTTTACAGGGATTTCAGGAACCTTTTTAAAAATTAATGTAAAACTTATAATAATGACATGACATTCAAAATAAATAAAACCGTTTCGGTAGTAATGAGGCATGTTTTATTGTTATTATATTTTTCTATGCCCGCTTCTACTTCATTTCGTATAGTAAGTACTCTGTACCTATATTTGGTTTTGTTTGTAGATTATTGACAACATGAAAGTGGCTATAATTGGTGCAGGGACCAGTGGAATAGCTGCCATCAAATGCTGTGTAGATGAAGGGTTACGACCGACATGTTACGAACGGACACATGATATTGGTTTGTATTACATATTATCTTATCTGAATAAAAAAGACTTACTGTTCATATAAGGAAACATGCCATGAATAGAGATTGCTTATAGATACAAATTATACGTGAAAAGTAATTCAAAAATAAAAAGATGATTACCTATTGAGTTAAATAAACACTTTCTAATACCAAATGTATACTTTAGTAATATCAAGACATGCATAAGTATATCTATCAATGATTTAAAACGATGTGTTATGCCAAAATTCTAAAATAATACACACTTGTATTACCAATAGAAGTCCATATATTGTATGCTCCACAAAGGGGCGAACCAATATGTGATACATATTCATCAAAACATTATGTGGTAAAGTTGTATATAGAGCATATATACCGAAACTGTTTACGATAATAAACTGTCTCTTCAAGAAAAGCTTAGTACCGTCTTCTATACAGGAGAGGCGAAAGATACCAAAGGAACAATATAACCCATAAGTCGAAAAACAAACTGACAACACTATGGCAAAAATCGAAAATCGACAAAAAAACAAAACAACATCGAAAACTAAAGACTGAGCAACACGAACACAAATAATACCGGGGGTGATCTCAGGTGCTCCGGAAGGGTAATCAGATCTTCATGTGGCACCTGTCGTGTCGTCATGTAAGTACAAACCAGGTTATAAGTCTAATTTGGTAGGTCACGTTCGAGGAAAAGAACAAAGGATTGTATAGTTACAACGATTTGAACATATCCGTCATCATCGGATATTTTATATCGGTCAGATCAACCAACTCGTGATGGCGTTCGTAAAATTTTCGAAGTGATGATTTCAACTTCACCACTTGGAACTCTTGTTTTAATAGCTTCCTTGTGAGCAGCAACCCTCTTTCAAGGAATTCATGATAGGAAATACAAGCTCTGGAATATGGTACCAATTGGGAGATGTATACTCCATATGCAGGCGCTGCTATATACGAGGGTGTGGATGGGGGTCCTTCATTTCTGTATTGTTTGTAATTTTTAGGCCATTAATCTCTATTGCTTATATTTTAAAACCCCATTTTCTCTATTCTTCACATTTTTGGTCCATTTTTCTCTATTCTTTATATTTTTCGCCCATTATTCTCTATTCTGTTAACCACCATTTAGACCCTCATATACAAGGTTCGGCACTCAAAAAAAACAGAGAGAGTCGTTGATGATTATGACATTAGTTACGTTGAACTAAGTTTTGGACAAATAAGTAAGTAATCATGAAACAACATCTACACATTATCGTATCTTAATGACTTTTTTATATTACAAGAACCAGTAGCACTGTTTTCAATTTCAACAAATAAATTTGAGAATTATATTACTACTAGAATTTGTCAATGTAAATCAGTATGACAAAAAGGGTAGCGGATGTCATCTTTGCAAACCATTCGAAATTTTGGTAGTCACCTGTATGCTCCATCAACTTTGTACTTATTATTGATCGGTTGCAAATTGACTTTCTTCTGAAACAGGGAACGAAATGATATTGTTTGCGGATGCACAAGAAAAATTTTGAATATCGTTTATTGGCCTTGTGGTCATAAAACTTTCGAGCAAGAGTATCGTACTCAAACTCCGAAATCAACCAATTAAAATGATGGAATGGGTGTTTCGAGCATAAATTTTATACTCCGAGAACTAAGTAAAGTTTTATGACCGACTCGGAGAGCCCAGATATTTTATATACAAAAGACACAAATGTTATCTCAAATGTAATTCTATTATCCAAAATGATACACAATTTTTGTTTTCATTAGTTCGGAAAAGGTTAAGCACTTTGCAATTTCAGTATTTGATGATTGAATGGCAACAAAATATATCAACTGGTTTCATCGTTATAGGTGGTCTTTGGCGCTATACAGATGAAGTCACAGAAGGTCAGGCATGCGTAATGAAGTCCACAATCATCAACACCAGTAAAGAAATGATGTGTTACAGTGACTTTCCAATACCAGCGGAATACCCCATCTTTATGCATAACTCTTATGTTCAGAAATATTTCAACTTGTATGTCGACAAATTTGAATTGAGAAAACATATTCACTTCAGGCACGAGGTGAGCACTCAGAATGTCATTTAATTCTTTAAATCAAACAACTTGGTGTATATCGCTATAGAGATACATTTTTGCTCATAGTTAACAAAGTGGGCAATAAATAACTGTTTCCGATGACTGATGTGATAAGATGATCTTTTATGACGTTTTTTTTATTCAATTAGAATTTCAAGATCAACGAACTTCAAGGCCATTTAATATTCAGTATTAAGATGCCGAATTAAGTCTAAAAATATCGAGTGTCTTTGTAAACTATTCAAATTGATAAATATTTAGTTGCGTAACTTCAACAGCAAACATTTAATGTAATCATCGAAGAAATACCTTACCTATGACCGTTATGGAATAACCGTTTCACAGATGATATCGGATATGTTCTTTATCATATGTCGTAATTACAATCTACTTCCTTTTTCACCACGAATGTGATCTACCGAATTAGACTATTTACCGGATTTGTAATAACATGAGCAACACGACGGGTGCCACATGTGGAGCAGGATCTGCTTACCCTTCCGGAGCACCTCAAATCACCCCCAGTTTTTGGTGGGGTTCGTGTTGCTTAGTCTTTAGTTTTCTATGTTGTGCCTTGTGTATTGTTATTTGTCTGTTTGTCTTCTTATTTTTCAGCCATGGCGTTGTCAGTTTATTTTCGATCTATGAGTTTGACTGTCCCTCTGGTATCTTTCGCCCCTCTTTTATATATAAACATATAATTTTTTTTTCTTTTTCTAGATTTCAAAGTCAGCACGACAAACTAGGATTCTTAATAACCAAATAATTATGTTACATCAAGCGGAAGTGCCAAAAGGATTAAAGATTTAGATTAATTCTCTTTCATTTATTTTCAGACATGCATTGTGCCATACATCAAAATAGTCATATATATGCAGTCTATCCGTTAATTTGCAATGCATTTACAGTTAAAATACTCGAATTACTTTAATTTAAATGGTGTTTTTGTGTTTTGAGATCATTTCAGTAAAACCAACAGATGATTTTGAAACAAGCGGCCAATGGATACTAAAAGTCAAAGATTTAGCAAACGAAGAAGAACACAATATAACATACGATGCCGTAATGATATGTACTGGACATCATGCTGAGAAAAATATGCCAGATTTTCCTGGATTAAAGAATTTCAAGGGAAAAGTTCTTCACAGCCATGACTACAAGCACACTGCTGGATATGAAGAAAAGAGAGTGGTTGTCGTTGGAATAGGCAATTCTGGTGGCGATGCGGCCGTAGAACTTAGCAGAGTGGCTTCACAGGTAACATTAATCATTTGTTGAGATGAACTTTTGTTGATCTATACATGTACGCAATGGATATTTCCTTTTCAAATCGCGTTTGACTACAAAAAAACACAAACAAATCTCTTATTAAATGTCATCTCATTATTGTAATATAAAAACTTATCAAAGTAAAAACCTTTTTAAAAAGATCGAAAGCACAAAAAAGACTTAAGAATAATAACTAACAAAAGACAAAGGCCACAAAATATGCATACTTCGGTTTGATGGGTTTATTTTTAATGTTCGTAGAATGATTTTCAACGATTTTTTTGAACGAAAAAACATCCGGAGACATATTTTTGTAGTTGTTAATTCACACTGTAACAATCTACCGAAGGGCATGTCACCCAATATAAATGAAAATAATAATTAAAATTCCAAGTAGAACAGTCTTAGCTCTTGTGATATGATCTGCCTAGAAGTAGAAAACACTAGTTTGACAGTTTCTGCTATAAGACTGCATTCTTTGCAACATGACACCACCGAAACGTCGCTTTTTCCAACGAGAGAATATGATTCTGCGCTAGAAATTTAAAAAGGACTGATATAGAACAGTTCTTCTCCACAAAAAAAACAAAGATCTTTGGAAGTACATCAACTCCTTAGAATTGAAATGAAATCGTTCATTTGATAGTAGCTTCAGACTCAATAATTTCGGTTGGATTTAAACTACTGCCTTAAATAATAAATTTTTGTTTAAAAAGAGGAGAATATTTATCAATTATGGACTTTTGACGAGGTCAATACGTGATGTCAGAGATCAACAACAAAGGTGATATTTACAGATGTCCTATTATCAAATTCCAATTCTTGAGTAATAACACACAATCCACTTAAGCCCATGGTATTTACATAGCTTAGCTAATACAATATACTAGGGCTTGTTCTTGTTAAGTTGATTTCATTAACAAATGTTTATGATCTTAACACGAAAGACAAAAAATAAAGAAGATAAATAGGCAGCAGCATGACATAAAGAAAAACAAAATAAAGACGGATAACAGTCCCAAAACACCTAACATAAAGACAGATAACAGTCCCAAAATACCAAACTTAAAGACAGATAACAGTCCCAAAATACCAAACATAAAGACAGATAACAGTCCCAAAACACCTAACATAAAGACAGATAACAGTCCCAAAATACCAAACATAAAGACAGATAACAGTCCCAAAATACCAAACATAAAGACAGATAACAGTCCCAAAACACCTAACATAAAGACAGATAACAGTCCCAAAATACCAAACATAAAGACAGATAACAGTCCCAAAATACCAAACATAAAGACAGATAACAGTCCCAAAACACCTAACATAAAGACAGATAACAGTCCCAAAATACCAAACATAAAGACAGATAACAGTCCCAAAATACCTAACGTAAAGTCAGATAACAGTCCCAAAATACCAAACATAAAGACAGATAACAGTCCCAAAACACCTAACATAAAGACAGATAACAGTCCCAAAATACCAAACATAAAGACAGATAACAGTCCCAAAACACCTTACATAAAGACAGATAACAGTCCCAAAATACCAAACATAAAGACAGATAACAGTCCCAAAACACCTAACATAAAGACAGATAACAGTCCCAAAATACCAAACATAAAGACAGATAACAGTCCCAAAATACCAAACATAAAGACAGATAACAGTCCCAAAACACCTAACATAAAGACAGATAACAGTCCCAAAATACCAAACATAAAGACAGATAACAGTCCCAAAATACCTAACATAAAGACAGATAACAGTCCCAAAATACCAAACATAAAGACAGATAACAGTCCCAAAACATCAAATATAAAGACAGATAACAGTCCCAAAACACCAAACATAAAGACAGATAACAGTCCCAAAATACCAAACCGAAAGGGATACGGCAATATCAAGTATTCATTAGTTTTAGTCAGCAACCGAACCTGCTGACTAAAACAAATGAATACTTGATATTGCCGTATCCCTTTCGGTTTTTCTCAGATTTATTTATAACATAAGTTTTAAAGTGGTAGTTTTTCATCAAATTATTTTGGGTTACATGAAGTTAGGAATGAATGAACTAGATAAGTACGCATTTAATTTGATAATGTTCTTTCATGTCTGATTTGATAGTTGATACTCAACCAACAAATAAGCTGTGAAAAGCGTATGAACTGAGAACGATGTTGATAATTGTTTGCTTTACGTCCAGTGGAAAATACTTGTTGTATGTTCAGGACGGGAACAAATTAACAATACATGCTATGGGTAAGTTCTGTAAGGAAGGGGTCAAGTGCGGAAAATGTGGACGGTTACTTGAAAATTAGGGTTCGATTGAAACGCCGCTTTAAGACCTTTCAGAGACTTGTTGCAAGGGTTCTTCTCTCTATATACACGAGGCCTTCTTTCTGTCCTGACGTGGTTGCGTGTTTATACATCTCGCACGGCCAAATGGATTCCCTAATTCGGCAAGGGTGTTACTACCGGTCGAAAAAAGACAAAAGTGACCATATTTCTATACCCCATTCACCTTTGGGTGAACGTATGATAAGTGAGACAAGTAACAACACTTTATTATTAGATAAATTGATTATTTCTATTGTCATCATTGTTTCAGTATTGAATTTAATATAATATTTGATGTATTTCTATTTCTCTGTTATACGCTTTTGTCTTTCTGTTGTTTGGATTATTAGAGATTGGTTTGTGTTTCGTCAAAATTCTCAAATCCATTGGAAATGGGATTATAATTCTTGAAATTGTATGTTTAGTCCTGTTTCATTTTGTTTTAGACATTCTTGAGCACAAGATCCGGTAGCTGGGTATACAATCGAATATCAGATAGAGGTTTACCATTGGACATGCTTTACACACGCCGGATAACGTTTGCGTTAAAGAATATTATTGGTGGACCTATAATTGAACGTTTAGCCCAAAAGAAACTGGAACAAAGATTTGATCATTCAATATATGGCTTAAAACCAAAACATGGTATACTTGCTCAACATCCTATGGTCAATGACGAGCTCCCAAATAGACTTGCTAGTGGTACACTAAAACTGAAATCAAATATTAAACATTTAACAGAGAGTGGCGTTGTATTTAAAGACGGAACAACAGAGGATGATATCGATGTTGTAATGTTTGCAACTGGATATGTGTTTGGGTTTCCTTTCTTAGATGAATCTGTTGTAAAAGTAGTACACAATAAAATGGAATTATATAAATATATATTTCCACCTAATCTAAAGAGACAGACTTTGTGCATAATTGGTTGTGTACAGCCACTGGGCGCCATAATGCCAGTGAGTGAAATGCAAAGTCGCCTGGCAACAAGAGTATTCAAGGTATATCATATGTAAATATAATTTAAGCAAGTCTCAAAAATAAATCAATTGCATTTATAACGATTCAATAATGTATAATCGTCAAAACATATTTCATTCGGTTATTGTTGATCGAAAACTTTGGCTGCTAATTAACTTTCGGGTTTCGGTATCGAAGTTTACTGATTATGCTTCTGTCTGCATACAAGTCAAAGGGTACCTTGTTGGTAAACCATATTAAAAGTATTCCTATCAAAGCAACCTTTTGCGTAGACAGTACTTTTGAGTTATCTTACAGCTACTGAACTAAAGAAAGTATTATATTAATATCATTAAACTTCTAGGGGGACGTTTTGCTTCCATCAAAAGAAGAAATGTGGAAAGATATACATGAAAAAGTTGAAGCAATGAGAAAGAGATACATTGCTGGAACGCGGCATACAATACAAGTTGATTGGATAGATTATATGGATGAACTAGCAGTTCTCAATAAGTGCCTACCAGACCTATGTAAGTATTAATAAAGTGAGTCATTCTTTCTTTTCATAGTGTGTGTGTATGTATACAATCTTCTAGAATATAGCAATTATTTGCATCGTCACGATGATAGTTTATATCAGACAAATCTGCAAATAGTTACGGTCTCTTCTGTAATATGCATTTTTTTCTGTCACAAATTAGCACAAAAGATTTTACCCTGATAGACAAAATAAAGAAATAGAAAACAGGTTATTGTAACTGGTATTAATACAAACATGAAATCTAGATGCTGCCAAAAATAATACATTTGTAGTAATACATCTTATATTAAATAACTGTACCATTAATTGTCTACAGATAAAATGATACTACCATACATTTTTGTACATGTAAGCTAACACAAATTATGAAATATCTATTTAAGGGAATATGTTGAAAACAGATCCAAAATTGGCATTGGCATGTTTCCTTGGACCAAGTACTCCATATCAATATCGACTTGAAGGTCCCGGAAAATGTAGTGGTGCCCGGGAGGCGATCTTTACGCAGTGGAATAGAACACTCTCGTCATTGAAAACTAGACCTTTAGGCTTTGAAGGAAAGAAGACTGGCTTTTCAAAATTCAATGTCTTTTGCATCGCCGTCATGGCTATTATTTTGTATTACTTATTTGTATACTATAAAATATGAAGAATCACTATACGAAGCAAATACGTTTTAACTGTAATATATTTGTAACTATCGTTGTGTTTTTCTGAATGGGTGATATGGAATATGATATATCTTTTAGTTTTATATTGAGTACCATAATATACTTGGATAAAAGGAGATGTAAGGTATATGCAAATGTGAGACGGCAACCCGATGACACAATCTAATTAGATTATAGATCGCTGCTTCGACAAGTAAGCGAGTTACGATAGATCTGAATTTTAACCAGATTGCCCGATGACACAAAAAGACCAAAGAACATCTAGAAGTAAACATACGTGTCTACATTAATTGACAAGCTTTTATAAATACAAACTCTAAATTGAATTTAGTCGATTAAAATGTGTATGTATTTGATAAAGACTACGTAAGATATGCAACACTTAATTCTCAAGAGGATAAAATTTAATGATAAAACTTAAATGTCTTTTTTTTTATATATATATACCCATTTTCGAGTGCGTGTTCAAGTTTAATGAAGACCATTATACTATTTCTTATTCAGGACCAGTATTCCATACTCGTGTATCCACCCCCCCCCCCCCCCCCACCCCCACCCCCCCCCCCCCCCCTCAAAAAATTGCACTGACCAGACATTGTTATACGCAATATGGCTAAAATGTCGACATCTACTTTTAGAAGTCGATTAGTCCTTTCACTGAAAGTTTCAGTTAAATTGGTATTATTGTTCAGCTTATATTAATGGTTATTCTCGCTATTATTATGTATGTGATAAAATTTTCAAGATGATAAGTAAGTCAAGTTTGGTCGAGATTGATGTAATGCTATATGAGGCTCAGTTGTAGAAGACCTTCCATATACCATTCCCACAAAGATTAGCTTTTACAGAGTAGATCAAAATATGCTTTTCAATAGGATTTTAATGGGAATTCTTCGACAAAAATGTCGCCATGTTTGCCACCAGATCAATAAAAGATGTGGAATATTTGTATCAATCCTCTAAAGTTTTATAACATTTTACCGTGTTGTTTCATAGGAGACAAATTCTTAAATTTTCCAATTAGAATCTTAGATTGCCTCTGATGACCATGTTTGTCAACCAATCAGAACCAAATGCAGATCATTCCTGTAAAGTTGATTAACATTGGCAAATTAGTTGAGATATATGATGTAGAAAATAGGATTTTCTATTTTTCAAAGTTTGCCACTGGCGGCCACGTGTTTCAGTCGATCGAAACCAAATCGAGAATTTCATAAAGGACCTATCGTATATCGTTTCAGTAAAATTTGGTATAAAAGGGCCTTTTGGTTTCAGATGTTTTGTTGGAAATGTAAATTCTATAACGATGGACGGATGACGGGCCATGATAACGGATTAGTGTTCACACGACTTTATTGGCTAAATGATTTGCAACGATTAATTATTTTGAAGATTGTCTTTCAATATTATACTTCCATGGTTTAAAGAAACCGCAACATGTATGTTATCTAGAAAAGTAAACGGATAAAGTAACAACATTGTTTACAAATGTTATTACAATCATGTTAATAGATTACATCTTTACAGTTTTTGAAAAACTGTCTTTAAGTCAGCGCTGTGACAACACTTGCCATATTCAGATGCTCAGTCTTCAAGTTTTAAACTAAACGGATGCTGCAATAATCTAATCAATAATTCCTAACTTAAAGATCTTAATAACTTCATAAAAATAAAAATAATAACAATAGACAGGGGCGGGTCCAGGTGAGGGTGTAATGGGCGTACGCCCCCCCCCCCTTTTTCAAAAAAAAAAAGAAAAAAAACTATCGTAATCTGCTAATATGGCAATTTATCATATTTGACAATTAATTTATGTTTTTTAGCAAAAAAAAGGTCCAAAAATTTTTTCGACTCGCTCCGCTCGGCGAAGATTTGATTCTACGCCCCCTCTTTCAAATATCCTAGAAACGCCCCTGATAGAGCGACACCGCCAGTGGAAGTAGCCACATAATACTGTTTTCTCATGCTTACTGACGACAAACAGAACCATTTGTACGTTCGTACTTGTAGCACTGCCAACTAACATTACATTAGTTTTTCATCACCTGTACCACATGAAACAATGGAATAAACCTTCAATAAAGTAAAATCTCTCACAGGTCAGTATATTTAAATTAATTTATTACTAAAATTAAATTTCATCAACTGATGCGTAATTAGACAGTCATCATGATAAATAAAATTGCTCTAATGAATATTAAATACTGTCATAATATTAAAACATATTAAGTTTATATCTTATGATTCACAACATAACCTACTCTTAGCACATGTTTGGGCAAAGCTAATGCTATAAAAATGACATGGCTTAAGTTTAGTTATTAAAAAACGTTTATTTCAGAAATAAGATTTATTCATCTTTATTCTCATTTATTTATATTTTTGAGCTCGGGGAGCATATATTATGTTTCAAATTATATTTTTTACGCATCTATGCGTTCGATGTTTTAAACAAATAATATCGTTCTTTTTCATTAGTTATAACTAAAATAATACTCTACCAATTCATGTAAAGTGAAACCGACATTCATAATTATTGTTTACATGCACTGGAAATATTTATATTAAGCGTGGGAGGTCATATACATATCTGTTGGTTCATCTTTTTATCAGTATGCATATATACATAATACATGATAATAGAATCTAAGGCACTTGAGGGTCTTTACGGTTACGCAGTCCTTTAGCAAACATGATAAAGGCTAATATTACAACGAAATCACATGTCAATTACTCTGTAATCGGTATACTGTTATGCTGATACTAGTGACATGTTTGTTTGAAGTAAAAAAAAGAAAAGTATTAACTTAAATCTAAACTTCTATTTGAACTATGAGATCTAAACTTTACAACTAAAGCCATCATTCTTTTCCCATTGTTAACTTTTGTATTCAATTTTTTGCAGCAACAATTTCGTCCTGTAATAATTATTACCAAATGAGGCCCATCACGGAATTTTTAATTGTCAGGAGCAACACGAGAGTTGCAATTTGTTGAGCAGAACCTGCTCCACCGTCCGATGGACATGAATTCATCCTCAGTTTTTTGTCGGGGTTCATATATGCTCAATCTTTAGTTTTCTATGCAGTATAATGTAGATTATTGTTTGTCTTGTCTTGTTTTATTTGGCCATGACATTGTCTTGCTTATTGAAGTTCTTCGAATTATGATTTTGATTGTCACCTTAGTATTTTATTTTATTTTTTACTTTTACTTTTACTCTTTTGTAATGTGACAGTTGTCATATCTTTTTCAAGTTAATGGGCACACGTGCGAGATTTCTTGTACATCCTCTTTTATTGTATATTTTTGTTTTGTACACATAGTTAAGCAAACCATAAGAAAAGGGTCAAAATGTTTAAAACCTTGGTTTTTTTTTTATCTAATCCATCTATATGATGTACCTATGCTAAATCTGAGTATCCATTTCCATGTGTTCTTCGTCTTTGATAGTTTTGTTATGTTTTTTTTTTTTGGAATGAATGTGCGTTTCATTTTGATTAAACTGACGTTTGATTGTTTCAGCACTTTGCTGCGATGTAAAATGGTTCGTAAGTTCCTTGTATCTTTTAATACATTTTTGTACCTCTTTAAACTATTGAAATAATTATTTCTGTTTGTGTCCGAACTATATGTCAACATTATGCATACGATGAAAATATTAAAAAGAACTATATATATATATTCATCTTTAATGGTCAAAGTAAATAGGACTTGCCGTTTCTAGGACAAGTGAGTGAAAACTAGTGTCGGGACTTCAATATCATAAATGAAAATATTAGACATCATAGGGTTTTTTTCAATTCTAAGTACCTAGTCTGATATAATTTAGCAGTTACTGTGTAGACCCTCAAACATTCTGGTGCAGTTGCCAATTATAATAGAGTGACGTGAATAAGTCACCTCCAGGTACGTTTGATTGACCGATAACAAACACGTGTATACACACATAGAAATTATGATTATTATGCACATTAATATTTCTATATTTCTAGTGTTTCGAATCTCCTTGTTATTTTATTTAGTTTGATACATATTCAATCGAAACAACAACAAAATTTCCTGTATATGTTATGAATATATTTTTAGAAATACCATTGATTTACACAAAGATGGCTTCAAATATAATTGGATATCCTGCATTTATCTTGCTTTACCATGAACTAAGGGGAAATTGCTTAAAGACCCCAGTACCTCCTTAATTATCAAAAGCTATCATTTTGCATCAACAATAATTATCATGGCATAAATTATATAATGATATTTAAAGGGGCATTAGCTGTCAAATTCATGTTCACCGATTTGACTTAAGTGCTCATATCTGATTTATATAGCATACTAAAACATATATCCAAATTATAATAAGTCTAAAATAAACAGTTTACGGTGCATGTACTCGATAATATGTGTCATTTTATTCTAGACGCCATCTAATTAACCATCGAGGTGACATCCGAAGACTGCCGACGGTCAAATAACCCGATATAAATATAATTATAAATATAAATAGACAGTGAACACGTGCAATTGGATTTTTCTAGGTCAGTTTGATTTCATATTAAAGGTTAAAACATATGTTAATCATCATTTTTACCTGTATAAGAATGAGTCTTTTTGTGGATCGAATCAGTCAACCAAATAGTTTACCATTGTTTCACTTTCAATGTGGACATTCTTTTCCTTAGAATAGCTCAACACGTCTTGTTAATGCGTAACACATCTCTAACTAAGGGGTTAAATTGAAGGTCACATGAATACGGATTCAATGAGGTCGAATTATTCACTTGCAAGTGAATAAGTCATCAACAATGTTTCTTATTTCTATATCTCGTAGCTAATGCCCCTTTAAATAGTTCTGATTTCCATTGCCGGACTAAATATAGTTGACCTTCTAAGTCATTGTCCATATAATTTCTTTTATATTTGTCTTATGTACAACCAAAACAAATGACTTACGGAAAGATGCGAGTGAAAGCCTAGAATGTGTTTCCCTATTTTACAGTTATGGGATGACTGCTTGTGACAGACCTGTCCTTTTTTAT